GTGATCGGTCTGCGATCAACCACAGGGGGACTGCCCCCCCCGTTGGCAATCTGATGCCCCCCACAGACATTCACCAGTCGCCCATGAATACCAAGATGCTGTGTGCAAAGCTGGCAGGGTTTTTATGGGACAGCACTTAACAGTGGGAGCAGTGTTCAAGAGTCACTGCATCCTGGACAGATAGACAGGGAAAAAAATACTATCAAGTTGAGGGTAAGTCTTTGCTTCGCTTGGCCAACTCCCTGTTGCAGAGGACACTGAAATCCACATTGGTGCTGCAGTAGGTTACTTTTAGTAGCATCTGAGAAAATACCTGTGTTAAGATAAAGGTGTATTTGGATATTTTACTTAGTATTCAATTGAGTTACCTCATAATGGATTGAGACAGTACTCTCCTGTCCTCTGCTTTGACAATATTTCTTATTGTATCATGTATACAATAAATGTGTGTTAGGTGATTAATTCCTTGGAATAGAATTCCAGCACATCAACTGTTGATAACATGGGGTATCATGGGTTAAAATAATATAAAATAAGCATGATAACATGGGGCAAAATATAATTTCTATTATGTAAATTTAAGCAATATTCAGCCTTTTTAATATATATCAAAGAGTAAATTTGCTGTGGAGTGTTAGACCTTTTAGCTATATTCCTGTTGATACACATACACAAATCCCAGTGATCCTCATGGGAGCTCTAGAAGTACAGATGAAAGAATACAACTCAGTTACTGAGGTGCAGACCGACAAAGAACTGACCATCCAAAATAAATAAAGGAACTGCGTTCATGAAATAACAGCATGTAAAGCTCTGCACTGTACCCAATTAAAATCAATTAAACAATATGTGCAGTGCTGGTGCAAACTGACAACCTTATGTACTTCACCTCTGTTGATGGATAAAGTAGACAAAGAATAGTCCAGTCTGTCTTTTGTGCCTTGAGTCTATTATGAATTTGATGGCAAAAGACACATAGCAGGAGCCATCAGTGAGACAGACAGAGATGTATTGTTGAATGATTGAGTGATATGTCAGAAGTTAAGTCTGTGAATCAGTAGCATGGTGATGATAGCATATAACCATCAGGTCACCAAAAGAAGGGGAAATGGCAAGGGCAGAAGCTTGTGGAATTCTGTAATGGGCCCCTTACCTCATTATCAAAGGGGAGAGAGCCAGGGGTACCCAGGTGCAGGAGGACCTGGGGTAGGGGGCCCATTACAGGTATGGAAAACCCAATGAGGACTATGATTGCCAGGCCTGGTGGGGAAGTGATGGGTTAGGCGACCCAGGCTTCATAAGGACCAGGACTGTGGTTGAGGCCTCAGACTGGTTTAGACCTGCCAGGGCAAAGGAGCTCCCAGGGGCTAAAACCAAGCCCCATGGCACTGGGTACCAAACCAAGTTATTTTGGTTATATGCTTATTTGTTCATATGGTGGTATGAGACAGATCCAAGCTGGAGAAGGACTTTAGTTTGGAAATAGTTTGCTTGTGCCTGTGTTTGAGTTTAATACTGGAGAACCAGGAGCAGCTGTGCGTGGAAGCTTGAAGGTTGTGCCCAGTACCTAGGGGTGTGTTGCTGTCATTGTAGGAGGACTGGGATGCAAACCAAAGATCCAAACCTGCAACAAAATAGACTGTGGCTGCAGGCCCAAACCCCATGGGGGACAGGAGGGCGAGAGAGGGCCTGAAGCCCCCCAAAAATGAGGGCACAAGCCCAGAGCCAGAGCAGGCAAGGCAGGGGTCAAGGGGCCCAGAGCTGGAGAGGGTGAGATAGGGGCCCTGAAGGCCAAGTGCTGCATTGGAGGCTGGGGGGAGCACTCTGAGTCAGTACCCAGAAGGCTGAGAAACATGCAGTGGGGTCAGGACTCTGAACCGAACAGGCCAAGCTGAGCCTAAGGAGAGGTCCCTACCCTAAGCCCACTAGTTCCTAAGGCAGTAGGGATGTGTAGGGGGCACAGGGGGGTGCATGTGCACCCTGTGAGAGTGCCAGTGCACCCCCTGACTGGCCGCGTTCGCTGCTTAGGTGATGGGCAGGGGGGGCAGGTGGGAGCACTGGTGCAAATTTTGTCTCAGAGCTTTTTCATTAAGGGCCATTTACCGGCACTCAAAAGCAACAGGCCAAGCACTGCAGGCAATTTATGACATTTCATACTAAAATGAATAGTCACAATAAGGGCCTGATCCAGCTGCCTTTAAAATCAATGGGCTTTTGGGCCTTTATCTTTATTTTGTTGTCAGAATACTATTGGGAATCCTTTTTACCCCTTGCTACAACATAGACTTAAAATGGAGTACTTCTCTTTCTCTTTCCTTTCCCTCCTTCCATAGTCTTTTACAAATATGATTGCTCGGTGGCAGTTTTTGTTCAGCTCGTTCTTTGGCACCCCAGCCATAATTGCAGTCCTTGCCCCACCTGAGTACAAAGACTAATAGCTCTCTGAGTATTAATTTTTCTAATGAGCCAGAAGGAGGCCGGCACTTGTCTGCCCTTCCGTACAAGTCAGTAGGGTAGCCTTGCTGCACTCTTTGCACCCTGCTACAGGCAGTGCCGTAACATCATAGTCTTTCTGTATCTTTGTTCATAATAAATAATATTGCTGTGGCAGGTGGGTCTGAAAAATGCTGTGCTGCAATGTGATACCTTGGCTTTTTTGAACATCCATCCTTCTGAGCAAATTTTTCTTTGGAATTATTATTAGGACTCTCTGATGATGGCAAAAGAGGGAATTCAGTTTTTAATCTTATGCCTGCCTAAGAAAAAAAACCTTCACCAGAAATTGCGAACACATGCAAACATAACTTTAATGGGGTTGAAAGGGTTAGTCCATAATTCCACTGACTAGAGGATATCTGGATGAGCTATAAGGGTTAAAACAGAAATGGCTGAAGAAGCTTTGAAAGTATTCTTACTGCTCTGGTACTGTGGCTACACAACTCGTAAAGATTCAGATATAGAGGCTAGTCTTCAAATTAAAAAACAAGTAATTATTTGTATTTAAAAATTGCTATTTCCTTTTAAAGTTAACTATTCTGTAGAGTTAGCAGAAACTAATCAAACCTGTTCCAATTATTTTTAAAGACTGTTAAAATAATCTTGTATACATGCAAAAAGAGCTTCTGTACAAGAAGCAGATAGTGAAGCAGGTGTGAATTAAATCATGTGAGCAGGACAGAAACACTGCTTTATCGCTGATGTCACGTTGTGACACATTTATGTCCTTATTTCCTTTTAGCTAAACCCATGTGTTTTCCATTTATTTCGCTTCAGATCGGTTCATGTGTTTGTTTGAGTCACAGTCTGTTTTGTTTCAATTCTGTTATTAAAAGCCGCTAACCTGTTGAATGCTGCTTCAATACACTTACATGGCTTTAGAAAATATCAGACAGCTAGTCAGCTATTTCATTGTGCTTCCCATTCCAGTGCAGAATAGAATAAAATACTTGGAATTATTAGGCATAAAACTGTCACATCACAATGGCCATATTTAGCATCTCTTTGTTGTCATACCTAAGTGTTGGCTTTCTTTGCTATTTAAACGCTATTCTATTTGTTCCTAACTTCCCCTGTTTAACAGCAGACAAACCCAGGGAGCACTGAATGAGTCGGATGATCCCGAGACAGGCTGTCTAACTGATAACAAGCCAACTTCTCGTCACTTCTATCCTGTCGCCTTGCTGCTTGTCAGCTCACACTTGCTGGTTGTGTGGCTTATTTTAAGTCTTGCTTTACTATTAGCCAAATATCAATAAACTTCACTTGTGTCCCTTGCTTTTCTACAAACATCAACAAACTAACTTAAAAAAGAATTATTCTGTAAGGTTTCTACATTTTCAGACCCAGAGGATTTGTCTTTAAGATACAAATGTCTGAACTGTACAGTGTTTTCATTATTTTTTCTGAAATTTAAGAAGTATACTATGCATCAGGTGAATTATTTTGCTTTTTTGTTCATGGCAAAGCTTCCCTCTGTAATTAGCTCAAAGAAAGATCATTTATATTAGTGTCTCTATATAAGACAAAATACAGGATCCTGAAAGCTTGAACCCACTTTCCAGACTCCTATTTAGTCTAAAATTTTAAAAGGTTAAAAATTATTTTGCACACTGCAAGCTAACTCTGAACTAAGAATCATGGATGGGACAAATCTGTAGGATTAATTTTTACTGTGCTACTTTCATTGTTATTTATTAGTTGATGGACTTCTGTTTTGTTTAACAAATAGGTTATGTTATTACTTTGCAACAACTAACCCTTTTCTGTCAAGTAACTACATGGAAATATAGAATAAGTTCTGTTTTGTAATTAAATTAGCCTGTTTGTAATTGTTGCTTCGGTTGCTTTTACTTTCAAGACACTTTTATATTCTTTTTAACAAAGTCTCGTTTGTGTCTAGATGCACCACTTTGGCACTTGTGACTTTTGTACTGTATGTGAACAAACATCCTTTCTTTATGAAGCAGAGAGTTGGATCAGGCTGTTTGAAAAGCCATTTTCTCTTTTTTCATTGCAAAGCTAAACATATTGAAATAAAGTAGAAATGAACCTTTCCTTTATAAATCTATAGGGCCAGACTTAATAAAATGCCTTATTCCTAGAACCTGCATACTTAGGGCTTCATGTAGACTTTAACATGTATTATAAAAAGTCTGAAAAAATATGAAAGGACGTAAAAGGCAAATATATTTCTAAAGTTAGAATTAAAATATATCATTAAATAAATTATTTAAAAATTTTTACTAAACTTTATTTAAACCTTATGGGCAAATATTTAAAAACAAACAAACCCCATCACTGATTTCTGAGGGCAATAACTGTATTGGGCCTGGCCTTGGATTTAATTTGTAAGATGTATCATCACTTGTGGAGAAACAAAAATGTAGAGTTCAATCTTTGTTATTTTTACTTCAACTGTTGCTGAAACTCTGCAATGAACAAATAAAACATATTTATTTATTCTGTGTTTCATGAAGTTGTACTTTTTCCCCTTTCACTAGAGAAGGATGCCGCATAGAGAATGTACTGAAGAATATCAAATGCAGAAAATATGCATTCAACATGATACAGCTGATGGCTTTCCCAAAGTACTACAGACCACCAGAAGGGACATATGGAAAAGCTGACACCTAAGTTTACAAAAATGTAATCAGGAACACACATCTATGCTAATTAGCTAATATAAAATTGCTGTTTGTGTATCATGAATTGGGAATGTGTAACAAATCTAGGAATTAACTTCGTCAGCTATCACCGCATCTATTTTAAGTTTTAAAAACTAGTCAGTCGCTATGAAAGAAAGCACAACTAACTAAATATGGTTGGTTGAATGTTCTCAAAACCAAATAATATGCAGTCCTTCTGTGTCAGGGATTAAGTTAACCAGATCAAATAAGCTAAGAAGAAATCAGGTCTCATGAATTTTTGGATAGAGGAAAAAATGATGTGGATTGCTGCAGGATCTGATGTTAGTGATTCAAAGGGCGGCACGGTGGTGGTGGTACTTGGCCCAGTACCTGAGAACTCTGTGAGGAGGCAAAATCTAGTTGGTTGTGGTCTTCTCAGTCAAGGGTAAGATGCATGTCTTGGCTGCTTATGGTCAAAACCCCACAGAGCTCTCTTCCAGAAATGCTGATCTTAGTCTCCCAGTCAAAATTATGTTGGTAATTATATTTTGCTTCTCTATAGAAGCTTGGTAGTTACATAATGTAATTTCAGTAATTACAGCATGTAATTTGCTAATTACATTCTTCTCCTCTGTAGTTTCATTTGGGTGTATTATTCTTTGCTGTCTGTACCCATGCCAAATCCTATTCATTTTACTTAAAAATTAGTCTAATTGGAGTCAGATTATTCATGAGTAAAGTGACCTGAATTTGACCCATATACTCAGTGTTGCTGTGATCAGTGAAACCTCAGTTCTAGCTTCATTTTAACAGTAGTTAAAGTGATTCCTGTATATCACTCAATCCAGATCTTTTGGATGAAAAAAAACTGTATACCTATAAGACTGTATTATTTTTATAGCACAAAACCCAACATAAGCATAAAAATCAATGTAAATACTCCTTAACCTGTGCACTATGACTCATTAGCTATGACAGCTGATTATATATCACATACATGGACACAGTGCTTTAAAAGATGTATTTTCAGTGTTGACTGTGAATTCTAGTGCTTTTCTCAAGTTGTGTCATATTTATTGTGTAGCTGTCATTTGGGTTTTTAGTTGCATCAGATTACTCCCTCTCCCCAACAAAAAAAAAGCATTAATTCAAAGATTATTAACATTTATATAGAGCCTTCATTTAAGGTATAAACAGGTTAGGAAAGGAAGAAAATAATTTTATCCAAGTGAAACCACAATGGAAATTCAAAATTCGTTGGAAAAATATAATTAGCAGAGTCAAAATTTAGTGAAGACACAAGCTAATGAATTTCTGCTGTTATAGAAACCACACAAATGCTAATGCACTAAGAACTGTTACCGTATTTGTTTTAATAAAAATACATACTCAATAGCCTGATCCTGCAAAATATAAATGCGTAATGTTATGGAAATGAACTGCTATGTGAGTGAAGTTACACATGTCAACATGTTTGCAAGATCAGGTCTCTGGGCAATTAGTAAAACATAGGGAATGAATTCCTGCCCCAACTCTTGGGGACATCATTGAGCTTGGACTTCATCTGTCTAATATATATACATGATGAACAGCTTTTTCAAAGCAAGTGATACTGATATTTAAATATTTTGGTAAATTGGTTTACTCACATTTTATGGCTCCTTTTGAGGGGTCTTCTGTCATAAGATATAGAAATTGTTTTTTTCTCTTCATGTGAGACCACAAAAGAGCCTTTGCAGTTGGTATAGCACGTTCCATAAATACAGTAAATACAGTACATAGTTAAGATTGGGCAGACATAAACCAAAGGGATTTTCTTTTTAGTACTATGTAATTTATTAAAAGAGGTGGCCATTACAGTCTGTCATGTAAATCTGTATTTGTATATGGATTAACCATTATGACCTGATCTGTTTGTTACTTCTAGGTTTATTGAACTGATGGCTTCCTAGGAACAATATAGTCTATGCTGTGAATCTGTCACATTAACACTCCTCATCTTTTTTGACATGTTTACTATAAAAAGGTGACTGGATGTGCTCACTAAGTGTGTAAAACTGCATTTCTCAAGCATCTCTGGAAAAAAAAATCCCATGGAATTAAGAAAAGAATGAGAGATTTTCTACACTGTTTTCAAATCAATCTGCCAAATTCTGTGGCAAGGTAAAAGTATTACAGGTTTTAGAGTGGTTTATCTAAAGCCCCATTCATTTTACCTAAATTAAAGTCCACAGAATTTTTCCCTCTCAGAAGAAATAATTCAGGGCCTTTCCTTTTGTGATCTTTCCTCAACATTTGGGACCTAAATTATCCTTACGAAATAATCATATTCTGTTTGGCTACTTTAAGCAGAAGAGCTATATGAGTCATACTTGTACAGGCAGAATTTTGAAGTACACACATTTTTCTAGCCTTTCTCATCTTAAATATGCCAACAGCGCATTCTTTTGAAACTTATGTTGCCAATCAATTCTCAATATTCCAAGACAATATTAAAAGATGTTTCAGTGAAACACAACTTTGTGCACATGATGGTATCTAGGCTATCCGGGAGAGAATAAATATTACTTTGTAATATGACAAGGTTGAAGCTTTGCATGCCAGGTTTTTGACTGAAACACATTTACAGATTAACGATAAGCCCCCTGTAAGAAATGCTAATGCAGTTTTCAAGCTTAACATGAGCACTGCTGCTTCAGTGCATTCATGTGAAATATTTGCACTGCCATGGATTCCAAGGGGTTTTGTGGCCTCTAATGGTTTTGCCAGATAAAGATTTGTCCCCAAATTTGAGTGGCCAAGTAGTCATAAATTCCAAATTTAAGTATTTTTTTCTTTTTTTAACACAAGTAATCCTATGCAGCTACCTGGTGGTTGTAGCTCCAAGAATTGCATGCCTCCCTGTCCCAATAGAGGACATGCAAAAGCCCCCAAGATCACTTGTAAATTTAGCATAGGTTTAGTAGTCCCAAAAGCCTTGTGCAAATGCTTTGCAATGGAGTAATCCAGGCCAAGTGGATTTCCATGGGTGAACTATGTCTATGATATTTGCCAATGTATTATTGAAGAAAACATGGCAGGTCTTAATGGGAGACTCACAGACCATGCTCTGATTTTGCACTGTATTAACTTTTGTAAGGTCTGAAAAGTTCTGTCTTGAGAGCTGAACAATCTTTCAAGGGGTAGAAAACAACCGTATTGGAATAAATATATGGCATTTACAGCCCAAACCAGCTTGCTTTCTTCAGGCCAACACTTTACTTAAATCACTGTTGCTACTTGTTTGAGTAAAGTCAGCAGGATATCACTTGCTGAAGTCTGAACAAAGGTGCTTCCCACTTTGATGTTTGTTTAGTGTATTGTTCCGTAACTGTATATATTTTATACTATAGCTAAGTGTTAACATAGCAAACCAGTTTAGCTTTTCCTTTTTTCTTACAATTTATAGAAAACCACATTGTAATATTTTTGCAGTGATAACTGTAAAATTGTTATACTGTGTAATAAATGAAGAAATGACATTGTCATACAGGCAGGTTTTTTCTTCCACAGTCTTCTTTTGAGGAGTTTAGCACAAAAATATATTAATTTTAATGTCTATAGTTTAGTTTTTATTAAATGATGAGAAAATAGAGAACATTTCTAATTCCATTATGTCTGTGTAAAGCAGCTCAGATTGAAACAGTAGCAAGGCACGTACTGCAGAAAAATCAGCAATATACAAAGCCTGCCGAAGCCAAGATAATGTTAAGCGATTCAAGGTCTTTTTGCTATGAATGTTAATGTCCAGCTTATTGGCCTCTAGTGCAAGTACAAAAATGAAAATTAAGAACAAACATATTTTTGTGCTAAACTTTTAAATAAATATCAATCAATCTAAACGCATGGTGTTATCTTAAGCTTGGCAATATTCTAACTCATCACTGATGTTTTAAGTGCAAAGAACTGCAGCATATAATTTATTTAGATCAATACACAATACGCATCTTATTGTCCTCAGGAAATAAATTTAATTTTTATTTTCAGTTCTAACAGATTCTCTGGCAAAGTCTGTAGGTAGCTAGTGTTACAAAGTGGTTAATATATTGAGCATCTACTGGTGTAATTATTAAAGAATCACATTTAAAAAAATTATACAGGACAGAGTGGTGTGATTCATAAATGTAGCCAGTTGAAAATTTTTAAAATATTTAATTTCAGTTGGCCGCTTAAACACTTGAAGCCATTGGATTCTATATTTATGTTTTATTGCCATAAAGAGGGTGATATCTTGGCATGCCATTGGACACAATTTGCATCTCAACTTTTGGTTTTTTGCAGTTTAAAAAGAAACTGTGCATCCAAAGAGATGTTTACAATGAAGCAAAAAGTGCTTCAAATAATTAACTCTGCCTTAAAAGGGAAAAACATACTTGAAAGATTAAATATTTAAAAATAATTCATACAATTGTTTCCATAGTTAGAAAAAAATATATTTTCCCAGTAGCTTGGTGCATTGATGAGTATTTTGTTTCCTTAATCATACAATACATCAGCCGTATTTTGCTTTCTCTTACTAGAAGATTCAACTTATTGTTTTATAGCTTCTTAAAGTTTAAAATACTTTCCTTTTTTTTGAAATGCTATCTCCTGAAAAAGTAGCATAGAAAATAAAGCAAGCTAAAAAGAGGCTACCAGTATATAACCAAAAATTAAAACATGAAAAGTTCTATTTGGTCATACGAGCTTTGGAATCAATACTGTAAAAATAAAAAAGCTTGTGAAAAGACAGTTATCCAAATTCCAATGATGACACAGGGAAGAGAAACCATCAGAAGTTTGCATATCTGAAGAATTGGATAATGGATGCAAAATAATATGGTGCTCTGGGTATGGGTGGGTTGTTTTGCTTGGTTGGAATTTTTTTGGATGCTGCTGTTCTGATGACCTTCTAGTAGCTTAACTATTAGCGCCTGGACAGTAGTGTTTGTATGTCTTCCATTTGGTATGCATATATTTCTACTATATATACTTTTAAATTATGGATTTTTCATTTTTTTATGAATAGTCTGTCTTTCAGATTTTAGTGAAAGAATTATATAATCACGGGTTACTTCTGGTACTTGGTCTCCTTTTGTGTACCTATTCTAATGTAATTGCGAAGATCAAATTGCATATTCTCGCTAGTCAATGGGACAGCTTTTATGAGGCAAAGTAACAGGATTTATCCCATGCTTTGTGTTTATGAAGAGAAACTGATGCACAGCTAGATAGCCTCAGCTCCTATCTTTGTACTTCAGGAATTATCATTTTGTTTTGTTGCTGTGTGTAAGCCATATCCATTGTACACTGTGTGTATATTTTTATTTAAATAAATGTGACTTTTATTTTTTATGTTTCAGACTTTTTGTGTTTGTCATTTATTTTTCATTTTCATGAAAGCATCTAAAAGTAAACTTGCTTTTCCCATCTATCTGCAATCTCATTGCAATTTTCATCTAAGCTTAAGGTGGAATTTATATTTGTTAATAATAACAAAAAGATACCTCTGTGTAATTGCTGATCCCCAGAGGGATAATCTAACATGATAGATGTGGAATCCATATTTCTTCACAATAATGATCTTAAGGAGTCGAAATAGTTTAGTTCTGTACTTGATTTAGTATCAGCTCCATGGGCTCGGTGCTTTCTGGCAGAGTCCAGATTTTAGGAAATAAATAAGGTTTGCTTTAGGCAATATTCAGTTTGTCTCCTCCCATTGCTGAAGCATAACTTTACTGTACTGGTTATGTTCACAGTGAAAGGTAAGTCCTCCATGGTTCACTGAAATATAATAGGAGACCTTCATTTGTCTAATTTTGGCTACAGGGTATTAAAATATGTTTCATTATCTACTTACCTCCCATATTTCAAACTGGAACAATGTTCTGTGTATATGTACATGTTTAGTTTTTATAAACTAGTAAATCTAGTGAGCTGTTAATTGCCCTTAAGTGTTTTAATTGCATTTCAAAAGAGCCAGGAACTCAAAAGTTGTTGTTTTAGTAATCTGTTAGGCCTGGTAATTTTGTATCTAATTAATAAAAATGAATGTATTTAAAAATAGCTCCTATGTTTCTTTGCATAGTACAGACTTCACCATCCATTTAGATTATTCTGCTGTCTTTCTAATGACAAAAGGGTAAAAAATACAGAAAAGAGAGCAAAATTACTCTAAAAATGTAATAAGGTAAGAAAACACTACAAAGCTGAAGCATGCATTTGCTCTTGCAACTTCCCTCCTGTAAGTTCCTTTCCAATGTAGATAAATAGAAGTGTGAATGACCTGAGGCTTTTGATCCATAAATTGCCTTCAACTGGTACTAAAATTTCACTGTTGTCATTGGGAATGATGTGCATTGATTATGAAGGTATTCTTGACATTTCCGAACAAAGTCAATGCTACCATCTTCAATGGGAGCATTAGTTGAGCCTTCTAAGGCTCCGTTTTTATTTATGTAAGTAGCTCTGTAGCTCTGTGGTCCATCTGACTTGGCTTGTGTAACATAACGGGTTTTATTTATCTCTTGATATTTAATCTAATTGTTAAAGTACATCACTGCTTTTCTTACCCAAGAGAGTAGATCCCCTGATATGTGTGTGAGCTGTTCAAATTCTGAGTTAACTTCTTCACCTGCAGGGGAAGAGACATGATTTACCAACAATTTGAGGAAAACTGTCTAAGAAATAATATTTAAGGGCTAGTCAGGATATTGCCTTGATATACATAATGTCATTATAATGTCTTGGAGGGGAAAAACAATAATGTAGGATAGCACTCAAGGGGATGAGGTCATTACAAAATTTAAGATTTGAAGTTTGAAAAATTATCCCTATTTAAAATTACGCAATTTTATACCATTGATTTTGGAAGATTATTGCTTATGGAAGAAAACAAAGGTATATTTGCTCTTCATTCTCATTTTCTTGTTGTCAATCATATGCTCCCCCTTTTTATTAACAAACCCTCCCTACCTTTCCCCCCCCAACACATTCCTTATGGATTTCTACTTGCAGATCTCTTCTGCCTGAATAATTCTTGATCATTGTGCTTTACAGGAAGAGGCAATTTAAACATTTGATTTGAATAAAAGTGGTGTGTCACACGCACACAAACTGATAATCACAGTTGAATTTGCCCTGCACATTCTTCATTGTAAAGCTTCAGGTTTTTCAAATGGGGAGTGGAGGAAGGAAGAAGGTAAGGCCTGATCCTGAAGTCATTAAGTGTTTACAGATACTAACTAACTGTGCAGTAGCTGTTGCTCACAGTTGCATGAAGCCTTGCTGTACAGTAAAGCATCTTGTGTACACATGCTCCTTATGTGCTAAGCCGCATATAGCAGTCAGAAAATTGTCCATCATATGGGGTAGACAGTTAATCTTTGTACCCCAGAGGTGTGGCTGGGCTACTGCCAGCTGCACCAATCCAGCAGCAGCAATGGTTGCTATTTTGCACCCTCCCCAAGTTGGTGCCTGAAGCTGCTGGCCTATACTCCCCCATTTAGTTATGCTGCTGCCTACTGTCAGTGATGTGTTTTTTGGTGGCATCTGTCAATTCTAAGGCTGGTATTGGAGTTAAGGCAGGACTAGACAGTTATTTGGCCTGTGGACCACATAGGGAGTTTTACCGAGGTGACATGGGCTGGGTCAATCCCTCTAGCTCTCCCTCCCCCCACACAACATCTCACCAAAACTCCCTATGTGGGATGGGCAGGCTGGGAGTGGTGTTCAGGAGTGGGCAAGGCCAGGATAATGGGGCAGGGTCATGGGGTGTGTCAGTGCGGGGCCTGAGGCAGAGCCACAATCTGCTACCTCAATGTCCCTGCAATGGGTTCAAGTTCTGTGAGCAGGGGCATGCAGGGAACAGATCGCAGCTCTTCCCCAGCCCAACCCCATGCTGTCACTGCCCCAAGACCCACAGCCTCCATGGAGACTGGCTGGGAGCCATGCAGGCAGGGCACTCCAATCACATCCACCTGGCCGCGTGCCCTGTCAATATGGCTCTAGCCTTGGTTGGTCTGTCGGGAGCCTCGGAGGCAAAGTGCTCCTATCGCATCTGCCCGATGGAACAACCTCAGGGATGGGGCTCCATAGAGACCAGCTGGGAGCTGAGTGGACAGGGTGCTCTGATTGCATCTGCCCAGCAGAGCACTGCCTGCGCAGTTTCCAGCGGGTCTCTGTGGTACCCGGGCAGCTTGGCTGGGTCCAGTGGCAGCTGGAAGGTGCTGCTGCCAGGAAATGGAGCCAGCAGGAGCACAGCCTCCGTCCCACTGTGCACCCAGGCACATGCCCCCACTCCTGGGCTGGGCAAGGCAGGGCAGAGAGACCCGCCACAGGCTGGGAAAAATTGTTCTGCAGGCCTGATCTGGCCCACAGGCTGTATTTTGCCCACCACTGAGCTAAGGTGACCTGAGAAATAATGTGATTGAACCTTAAAGAAGTGTGAAAAGCTGAGAAAAAGCTTCAGGCAGGCTTTGAGTAACAAAGTAGTGAGAATGAATGAGATTCAAAAAGCTGAGTCTAACAAAGCAGACATGACAGCACACTTAAATAGGATTAAGTGATGTCTTTCAAATTTAAATAAATGTTTTTTGGCAAATGATTAGTTTCATTTGCCTTATTTAAATGGCTGTCTGCCTTACGCATAGGCATCTTACATAGCTTATACTATACTGTAATAAATATAACAAATAATAATGATGCTAATTAATATATGGCTTATAAAATAATAAATCCACTTGTATAACAGATTTGCACACAGAAGAAGATAGTTATCTTGACAGAGATATCTATTATATATTAAACAGATATATTATATAAATAGATAAATACATAGACTGAGATATCTATTATAAAATAGATATATAATAAATAGATATAAAATAAAAATTATTATTTTCTATTATTTCAAATAGTTATTTTGACTTTCACCATTTGTAACTTTAAAAGGGAGATGTACAGTAACATTTGCAAGGCTCCTACATAACTGGAGTTTTTTATCCTGGGACTGAATCTCTTAAACCTCTTAGGCACTGCTGAAAATGTTACCCATAGAAAATAAAGGTCAAATTCTGCCTTCTTATACCAATAAGGCCATTCTGATACAGGTCTAGTAGAATTTGTCCTTCAGAAACCACATAATGGTGCACTGAATCTCAAGCCTCTAGTTGAAAGAGTTTTAAAGAATGTATCTTAGCTAAATAAGTTTGGCAGATAATTAGACACTTAACATTTTCCAGAATACTAGGAGATGCTGATGAGTAGTGATGTCTGTGCTGACATGCCACATAACTTGACTTGGCTCTATGACAAATAGTTTCATAGTTTCATAGTTGGTAGGGTCGGAAGGGACCTGAGCAGATCATCAAGTCCGACACCCTGCCATGGCAGCAAAAAGTACTGGGGTCAAACGACCCCAGCAAGGTGTTCATCTAGCCTCCTCTTAAAGACCCCCAGGGTAGGAGCCAGCACCACTTCTCTTGGAGGTTGGTTCCAGATCCTAGCCGCCCTGACTGTGAAGTAGTACCTCCTGATATCTAGTCTGAATCTACCCTCTGCCAGCTTGTGACCATTATTTCTAGTCTAAATATTGAACTATAACAAACTATATCTGCATCTTGTGACAGCAGCTAAACTTATTTATGCAGAACATGTATCTGGGTGGAGACCACCCATTCTGGAGTGTTTCAACACTAAGTTTTATGCCCATCAATGAGGGCTGTAGTAACCCAAAACATACATTCCCCCTACTTGTACTGGGACTTTCAAAATGGAGCTGTGAAAGATACCAAGCTTTTTATTGACCAATGGTATCCATAACATTTCAGTCTTTTTGAATGACAGGAAGATATAAGACAGAGTATTTTGCAGCACTGAGGCAGCAAAAGTCTTACATTTTTACTGCTAGGTAATCAAACATTTGCATTGCAGAATCAGAATTAGTTTAAGGGATGTACAGTGACAACTGAAAAGATACCTGGAGGATAAAATAGAGTCAGAGAACAAAGAGGTATCTGCCCTAACCTGAGCTGCAATAGCATTTTATATTTTGGATTGTGTTAAATAGTTGTGCCTTCAGTCAAAAAAAAAAAAAAAGAAACTTTGAAGTGATGAGCACTTTGTTGGCTCAGGACTGCTGTAGCAGCCTTAAATTATCAGTCTGTAAGCAAAATCATGAAGAACTATGTGCAGAACATCCACGCACAGACAAAAGGGTGGTTTCATTTTAAAAAGCTGCTGGTTCCCAAGCCAGACAGCTTCATGTATATATGTATATGTTATATGTATATAAATATATGTATATGTTGTATGTGCATTTACACAATCATATAAACCTCTGTAAAGCAGAGGCTTTTTCAGAA